CCTTAGCCGCTCTGCCGCTTTGCCGTCTTGAACTCGCCCAATGCTTGCAACTAATGTAGAACCGACTTTACATATCACATATCAACAATGTCGTAAGATTGTATTACAAGGTTGAGCTGTTCAGCCGCGCGTATCGTCAACGGCATGTTGTGAAAACATTGTTATTTTGACGGCTCGAGGCAAAACAAACATTTAATCGTCAAATATCAATTGTGAGTATCGCCAGTGACAGTCAGTCTTGCTCTTCGTCGCCTTTATTTTCGAGAAGCGCCAGAGTAACGATCAGAACATAACCTTAACGTTTCATTTAAGACACAATTGCCGATCGCGAAATACCAGGAATTCCTCGAGAAGAAGCTAAATCGACAACATGAAAATTTTTTCTGACTCAGATTCAGATTCAGAATGTATATTTTATCGTTCTCAATCTTTAATTCCTAAATTTTATCTTCTAATCATCTTTAAAAATTGTATTTGTGAATACTTGCATTTCATTGATTAGCTACAAATAATGCATGAATAAATTGTTGGTAGTTATCCTTTTTTGTTTTTAAAAAACTAAATTCTTGTAAGAAAAAAATTGATTTGTATTTATAAAAAAATTTGTTTGGATATTGAAGCATGTAGCAATCCAATTATAATGTATTGATTTCAGCGATGGAGGAGAATGGAGGTAAAAGAATGAGGGGCAGAGCTCGTGGCCGAGGTCGTGGACGTACCCGAGGGGGTCGGGCTTCCAGAGGAAGATCCAAGAAGCAAGTTAAGGTAAATCGGTTTTATACCAAAGTATTACGTCCAAAAATCAGTGCAAATACTTTTGTCAATTTATTCCTCAATATAACATTTACGTAAAATATGATAGAGGCTTATACAATTACTTATATAAAACTAACTTTAATAAATTATACAAATAATATTACAAAGCCAGTTGCATAATAGATTTTTCTGTTTATTGAATTTGTTATTGAATTGAATTAGTTGTCTAAAGAATAGATCTTTGATATTGTTCTTTTATATAATTAACTTTTTGAAATTTATATTTATATATAATAAATTCAGTTACATTATACTGAATTATTACTAAAAGCTCCTATATAAAAGTAGCAAAGTTAAATGTAATAATATATAAATATTTTAAACTATTAATACTTAATAATGATAGTCACATTATTTAATAGAATATATATGTATTATTTTATTATTATAGTTGATTATATTATATTATATTTATTGATACTATATATAAAGCAGATTCTTATGAGTATTAATCTGAACTGTAATTCAATGTAATGTTATTTTAATAAATTTAATTTAATATAAAATATTTATGCATTGAATTGCTTGTAGGTTATAGAAAGCGATGAAGAAGAGACTCCGCAACAAGCGGAGGATACTTCTGCAGAAACAGTTGGTGGGGAACAGAACGAACATGAACCTCCCGTGACTCAGCCTTCTCTCGAGCAACAGTTTGACTTGGAGGCTGATATATCGCAGCTAGAAGCACCGACTTTCACGACCATCAACCGTGGACCGCCCGAGCCAATGTTGCGTTTGAGATGGGACCATCGGGTGAATCTTATAGGAGAGAAAGTACTGAATCCTATGATACATTGCTGTGACAAATGTTTGAAGCCTATTCTCATATATGGCCGTATGGTATGTTTTGCTATTAAAGTGGACCAAGAAGTTTATATTTCTTGTATCAAATCTTATTGAGTTTAATGCATGTGTCACTCCTTATACTCCTTCACTCACAATCTTCAAAACTAAACATATAAGCTGAAAGTTTTCTTCTTTAATTGGCCTTTGCCTCCATGAGTAAATTAGCCAATAACAAAATGTCAACTTATTTTTAAGTATTGCATACACTTAACCAAACTTGTCTTTTTAATCAGAGGGATACATAGTCAATGTAGCAAACCAATGTATGGTGCTCCTTAATCTAAATCTCAGTTGAGGTTCTAACTTATACATAGAGCATAGCTTAAATGCAGGAAAAATGTTGTATATGTGTTAGACACGGATGGGATTGAACCTGGATCCACAGATTGCTAGTTCATAAACCGAGCGTCGAATCACCTGACTTCATAAGCTGAGATTCGCGATCGAACTCGAAATCTATCTATTATGGATCGATCATTCTCACGTGGACACATCTTTCTAATTTTTGGCTTTAACTTTTGCTCCTAATGTATTTAATATATTTTTCAGATACCTTGTAAACATGTTTTCTGCCTATCTTGTGCCAAGAGAGAAGATAAAGTCTGTCCTCGTTGCATGGAGAAGGTATCTAGAGTGGAGCAAACTGGCCTGGGTACTGTATTCATGTGTACACATGGCGGGACAAGATATGGAAATGCTGGTTGCAGGAGAACATACCTGAGCCAACGAGATCTACAGGTAAATGAAAATATTGATAAAATTGTACATTATAAACGTACAGAAAAGTTTTTGTACGATTAATATATATATAATTAATGATATAGTAAAATTTAATCTTTCAAGTTGGTATTTATAATTATCTTTATTTTATGACTCTTAAATAACATCTTAACACTAGAAGTACTAGAAGTACTGAGTCATTATTGACTGTTTTTATTTTTTTCAGATTAATATTATATTTCTTGTGTAAAAGATAGGATTCTGAATTTTTTAATTTTTCAGTAATTATATTCTTATATTAATGAAGTATTTTTCATCTCTTTATTTTCATAGTAATTTATTTTGCTCCTTTTAATGAGTAAAAAAAACATTGGTACTTCTATTACTTCTGTTAAGATGTACAGTTCTACGGATAATATTACAGTCTAATCTTGTATTTTAAAATTGTTGAGTATGATATTGAGATGTACAATCGTTTTACTGGATGGAATCTTAAGATCATCTAGGACCAAACCTAAGACAATCTGGAATATAAGATCCGACTATAAATATCACCCTGTGATTGGTTTACGGTATTTTAAGACTATATTTGAGACACTTAAATATAAGAAATGGCTATAAATATCGACCTAAAAATATTACATCCAGATGCATTGACACATAAAAACACTTTCTAATTTATTATATAGGCTCACATTAACCATCGGCATATTTCGGCGCCACCTCAACCAGTCCAAGGAATGCAGGTTGATCCTCCGCAATATGTACATGCTAAACCAGAAATGGAGTCACAGCTAACGAAGGTGTCCTCCGTGCAGATGCAAAACACGCGGCTTAAATCTGTGCAGTCTCACATGGTTCAACCGATCATGGGTAACGATCCTCGTGTGAACTCACTGGTAAATCAACAACCAACGTTGGAACAACATCGGCAACATAGGCAGCAGCAACAACAGCAACAGCAGCAGCAAGCAATGATGTCAATGCAGAGTTATGCGCAGAGTACCGCACCGCCACCACCGCCTCCAAATAACGCTCCTATGCGAACCAATCTCATCACAGTACCAATCCAGGATACAACGTCTCTAGCTACGCACGATCTTCACGCGCAACAGAGTCATCATTATTATCCGGCGCCACCACCACCGCCTCCGCCGCCACCACCAACAGTTAATTACGG